AATGAAAATTGTTAAAATTGAGGCAATTTCAAAAGGTGTTCCTAAACTTTTGTTATAGACTGTATAATGCAGCTAGATATATAAATAAACGCTATCTAATCACTACAGCGAATCCAAAACATAACTAAGTCTTAGCACAATGTCAATAGTATATCCAATATCCGTGGAGATATTCTACACTTTGTAACTAAGTCAGAGAGAGGGAAGCATTGACCAAAACGCAGGCCTTTATAAAAAAAACCTCACGTCTGCAACAATAAGGTGAAACAAATCTCACCTTTTTATGCATGGCTCGATATCCAAGTAATTGTCCTGGTTCGTTCACTTCCTCTTGCACTGCATCTCTGACTTCATGAAGATCGATTTTATAATCCGTATACTTAATGTTAAAAAAGGAGAGCCGAAGGTCTAAACTTCTCATACTCCAAGCATATATGGGATACCTCTTTTGGACAAAGTCCATAACTTCAACCCTTTTCATATTTTGTTCAAGAAACATTTGAAGATCAGATTTTAATTCCTGATTTTCTTTCCACTGATCATTTCGAATTCGTGGCGTGTGAAACATTCTGTCAAAATTAATGACGCCAATATAGTTGTCATGCGTGGAAAATCGTGTTTCACATGTTGATGTCTGTTTACTTTTTATACGCCCACATTTTGACGAAACTTAAAATATAGCTTTATCCCAAAAAAATCTCGGCTGCTTTCGATATTGGCATGTATCGGATCGAAACTTCATGGATTATGGCCCCTGTTTGTACGAAAAATCACGTTTTTAGCTTGTGGACCCTATAGAGTTCACAATTTTTATCCGATTTTGTTGAAACTTGAAATGTAATTTTATAACCCAAAGATCTCGGTTCCTTTCGATATTCGCGCATATCGGACCTTAACTTTCTGAATTATGGTCCCTGATTGTACGAAAAATCGCGTTTTTAGCTTGTGGACCCTATATAGGTCATAATTTTTATCAGATTTAAAAAAAACGTATTATTATGTCACTGTTACACCCTAAGGACAACGGAGTTCGAATTGCGTGAAAATTGGCCCAAAATTGACAGACAAATGGCCGCCGTTCGTTCTCAAATAGCGTAAAAATATGGTATATCAAGGTTGTGGACCCTATAGAGGTCACAATTTTGATCCGATTTTGATGAAACTTGAAATACATATTTATAACCCAAAGATCTTGGTTCCTTTCGATATTCGCACATATTGGATCATAACTTCCTGAATTATGGCCCTTGATTGTACGAAAAAATCACTTCTTTTTTTGAGCTTGTTCTCTGTCCATCTCTTGCAAAATGTGAGCGTATCTTGCATGGCAACTGCTTGTTTTTCTTTCCGGAAGGGGAGATAACTACAAACTCGTTTCTTGTCGCTCGGGTTATGCCACATAGGATAATCGAGACACTATAGTAACAATGGGCCACACGAGGTATTTTTGGTCACTCGGGTCTTGATAGCTGTCGTAGGCTGACTTTATACTGAGTCTGGATAATCAAGACACTATTACGGCGATGGGCCACGTGCAGAATTCTTTTTTGATTTTTTCTATTTCACTTATTGTTTTTTTATTTAAAATGTTATTTTTTTTATAGATTTTTTTAACCTTAAATATTTTATTAATATTTTTTTTATAGATTTATTATTATTTTAAATTTTAAAATTTTTTTTTTTTTTATATTTTAAAAAGATTTTTTTTTTTTTTTTTTTTTTGTAAAACAAAACAAAAATAATTGTTTCTTTTTACTTATATTTTTTTATTATTTTAAATGATATACAAAAAATAACCCCAAAAAAGCTATTGCGACCATGGGCCACCATAGTGGGGGCTGGCCAAATCGCGACGAATAACTTCTTAGTTAGTCATATTGTAAGTGTAACTGTGTTTTCTTTATTTTGACATTCTGCTAATTGAGAAACCATTTGAGTAATAAATACAGGTTATTGAATGGACTGAAGCTACATGTAAAATCACAAATACATCGACATCTCTTTTCAAAATTTGTAATTATTACTACTGACAATTAACAATAAAAGTCATATTGTCCACACGACTACAGCAAGGTAACAGTTTGTTGTTAAAGGGGCGTCTGAAATAAAGTTTGGCAAAGTTATGCGTTACATATAAGCATGAAATGTATTTAGTAGGTTTTATTTGATCTTCAGCGAAAAAAGGTTGTCGTTCTATAATAATAAAAAGAAATAAAGAGTTCGAATTATTAGTTTATTTTCACGTTTTGTCTTACACAGTAGACATATTGTTAACTTCTGACACATATGTATTAATTCTACAAGCCTTCTGTGTTTATTCCCCCAGATAATCGCACTACCCTTCAACCCAAAATGCTTTCTATAGATCCCATATTATGTAATATATGATTGGTGCAATACCCTTGCTGTTAGTCTTAATTGCGAAGACATTTAAACAAAAGGATTTAATCAGGGTAGGGAGTTGACATGTACACACGTAAATCAGATGCGTGAGATTTATCATTTGTGGATGGGTTGTCAGTGTGGGAAATACTGTTTTAAATGGATATATAAATACACGTTTTATGATTGTGGACGAAACGATATGTGCATCTCAGGAAAGCTTTGCTTCGGAACCGTCCTGTCGCCATTCAAAATCCAACGTCTGTTTCACCGTAGTGATCTTGAAAAATAATCCCTGGATAATGCCTAGCATTACAGATACCTGCCGTCGTATGAATCCTGAAAAATAATATTTCACCGTATTAGCCCCCCCCCCCAATAATTTGGCCTATAAGGACCTAGGATGGGAGCCCCCCCCTCCCCAATCAAGAATTACTTCCGCCGGCCTTGTAATTAGACGGGACGCTTATAATTCAACACGTGTCGAGAAACTAAACACTAGTTAAAGGGACAATAATACACGCTTGACAGCTCCAGTAAATAAATATTAGCCTTATTCTAAGTATTAGATGTTTAAGTTTCCTACCTGTTGTGTAAATTATCCATTACATCCTATTTTACTTGTCCAGAGGTTCGAAAATATTTTTAAATCCAAGTCACATTTGAAAAGGTTTATGTTAGGCTTTTCAAATCATTTAGTTGAATTTTTCCAATTTTTTAAATTAGGTGTGTTAAGATGAAATTTGTATTATCAATTTATTGGAATACTGTAAAATAGTACAATTTGTTGACCAGAATAAAGATTGGGACATATTATTCTGTTACAACAAGAGTGGTATTGATCCTTTAATCAGATGCTTGGTAATCAAAATTAAACAGTGAGATTGAAATTCGATAGAAGTACAAATTGAGCACTATTCGCCGAAATTCAACAATATTTATGAATAATTGGACACAGAGTAGAAATTAACACTCTTTACGCTAGATTAAACGGTACCAATGTTACAGTGTATAAAGAACTAAAACATTCTTTTCATAAACATTCAACATTGGAAATTTTGCCTTTCCTTAAAGATACATTATGGGAGATTAGATAAAGAGTTGGTAGTTCTCACTATAATAGTTAAAAACTAAATAATCAGGGGTGGGTCCAGGATTTTCAGAAGGGGAAGGGGGGGGAATGTGCTGCCCCCACTTGGCAGTGCGAAGTCTGGCCCTCGGTGGGCGGACTGACGGGCAATCAACCGAGTCACCAACCGACTCGTTTCGTAGTAAATTACGATTTCCAACCTAAACTGACTGTTAATTTCTTTCCCGCGAGAATATATGGGGTAAAAAACTGTTCGCCACCATACAAAATTGGATTCGTGATTCGTGCATGCAATGTAAATGGAATTTGCTGAAAATTTTAGTCCAATTGATCCACTCTGAACCAAGATTATAGTGATTGAATTTTCGCCCTAGCCGCGATCATCATTACTAAAGTTGGTACAATAAAAAACATACACTCGAATATACAGTTCCTGATTAAATTAAGAATGAAAGTGGAGCAGCAAATTGTATCTTAATCCAGTAAACATCGCGGGCTAGCGTTGACATCAAGAGTTGATTATGGTCTGGATATGTTAATTAATGTCTATTTAATAATTTAGATAACATTCCAGGCGTAAAGAAAGACCTGCAATAGGCAGATTTAGCTCTTGCATAAGGTCTATATGATGCGTGATTAACTACTCCACGTGCTGTAATTGAAGCCGTCGGTAAATTCTATCCGCATGTTATTTTTATAAAATCGTTTTTGACTTATTATAAATTGATGTGACAGTTGTATTCAACCTTTCCTTTCAACTTATTCCTGAGTCCGAAACGTCACCAACCCGAATCCGAGATGTCACCTGCTCAAGTACAAAACGTCAAGGCAATATATTTTTATTCCAAAATGACATGGGATCTTTCTTTCCAGGCTCTTCTTCATTAAGGAGATTCGAAAAATAAACATGAAAATCCATTATATTTGTATTCAAGAGAATAAAGAATTTAAAACAAAATTTGTATTACTACTTTTGAATTTTTGGGCCATTGAAATTGGGTCTGGGCTTTTAAAAATTGTAATCTACTGAAAGTTATTGACTGAATGCAACAGCACGTTCTCTGTTTTCAGGCGTAAGCCTTGGCATATTGTAGCATCTTCAACATGTTTGCACCAAAAGATTTCCATATTCAACGTTCCTGTTCTGTGAAATTAGATATTTTGTGTTTGAGAGATTTGATCTGTGATATGCTTACTCGATCGTGAATACATGATTGTTAAAACATCACTCTCTCGCATTTTATTGTCGTGATCTGATGTAGTTACATTTAGAATTGCCAGATTTAAGTGTATTTCTCAAATGAAATTTACATTCGTCCATTTAATGATATGCTTTTTCATTGCACCTCAGTATATTATACTGGTGGGCTTAAATATTAATGCATTTCTATGTATGTTTTTTCTTACCAGATTTCTTATAATAGCAATAATAAAATACATGTATTGCACCCACTCTTACCCTCTAAAATAATTATAGACTAAGTTTTGCATGTTTTTTAAAACATTTGATTTTTTTTGTCTTTTACAGGTAAAAATCCTGACAAAGTTTGGTCAGATATTAAATTTGCTATTTTAACCGTATATAAAGATAAAGAATCCAAATTAATAGATGCTGCTCGGAAATATAAATCTTCTAGGTAAAGGATTATACAACAAATCAGTTTCCATTATTATATTTTATTTGAAATGAAGTTAAGCACAACATCATGGTTATATTAAAGGAGATCCTAAATATATTTCACTGAATGTAACAGGTTTAAACCTCTATGGAGGGCTCTTAGTCTCAATAGTGTAGTCTTAAGCAACTCTGTCAAAGAAATATCAATGACTGATAGAGTTGGAGACAAACTTCTTTACTGTGTCTATCAGGTCACACAAAACTAAATGATAATTCGGAAGCATACACATTTGGTGAACCCTTCCAAACTGCTTAATTTTATTATTATCATTATTAATTTTAGTTAATAGAAACCTGAAATAGATTTGACACTGAGATAGTGTCTTAAACTTAATGTTGATATACAGGGGCGTACATAACGATTTTGTTTGGGGGGGTGTTTAGCCAAAATGCGACCGACTGATGCCCATACCCCTAGTACGAGTGATGCAGACAGGAGCCGAGTACCACAGGTGCGAGTTTTGTAGGGGCCATGTGCAGTAGTGGCTCTAGATAGGGGTAGTGGGGGGGGGTCCAAATCCAGGGCCCCACCCCAGCCACAATCCCACCCCACAATGAATGTCAACAAAATACTGGCTATAACATTAGGCGTCCCGGTAGAACATAGATGGTATTGTATAATTATATAGTTGTTTGCCGATCGTTGTCTCGCTGGAAAGCAGTTTTATTTAAGTTGACATAATGTTTATGTCATATATGATTGTGCCTATAACACTGAGCAACCTGAGAAAATTTTGAAAAAATTGAGTCAATATCTTGGCATTTGAGGTCATTGCTGGGAGAAATTCTTGTGGACGAGAGGACCAGAAATGTGAGTCAATTAGACAAAATCTCGAGATCCGCCCCTGTCAATTCCGCCTGTTTTGCAAGAGTTGACAGAACTTTTGTATAGTCTGACGCCCCACTACCCATACACCAGTGCCAGTGGTACTATAACTAACATAACTAGGCAGTTCAGTATAACCGTGAATATGATATTGCTGAGACAGTATAAGACAACAGAGGATTGGAAGAATGATGTTATAATGGAATCGAGCGCCGCAGGCGCGAAAAAATTTCAGATGTGTAACCAAGCTTTTACTTTTTGGGACTGGGCTGGACAATTTTAGTCAATGTCATGGCAAATGGATCCAAATTCTCGTTAACGAGAGGATAAGAAATGGGACAGAATCTTGAGGCCTATTTGTCAATGTCGCCTGTTTTGTGAGAGTAGAACTAACAATTCTACAGTCTTTTGACCCACGACTCACTCACTAGTGGTACTACTAACTGAGCGATTCACTGTAACTGTGAATATGATAGTGATGAGATAGTATAAGACAGAGAAGGAGTTGAAGAATGATGGCATAATGGAATTGAGCGCCGATATGTAACTGAGCTTTTAATTTTTGAGGACTGGGCCTGAGGGCACTTTACCTCAATGGGGCGCTTACTTGGTCTCTGAAATGTCCTGGACTTTGGGGAGAGATTTTGCAGAATTCTGATGGTCAGAAAACACCCCATTAATTCATTTAGTCTGGGACAGACTGCGGTGACCACTTTTTTTTGAGACCAACTATTTTTTTGCCATGGGGAGAAAAACATTTTTTTCAAACATGATAAGTCGACAAGTAATAGTTATATACCTTGTTTTCAAGGTGTATGGGTTGATACACCGTCTCCTTTTTGAGTGTGCCAATGGATTAATTTATACTAGTAATATATTTGGATTACGTGCTGTGGATGAGCATGAACCGCGACAAAATGTGAAAGTTTTTAGTGTTGAAAATGCCAAGAGATTAATTTATAATAGTAAAATATTTGGATTATGTTCTGCGGATGAGCATAAGCCGCGACAAAATGTGAAAGTGCGACTAGATATCAAAATGTAAAGAAATGTGAGACAAAATGTAAGAATATGAATGAGAGTGACGCACATTCGAAAAGTGCTGAGACAGTTGAAAATGATGATGGGTTGTAGATGTTCAAATAAATATGTAAATCATGATTTTGTTATTTTTGTCCTTTTTCAACTGATACACGGCCACTTTTCAACTGATACACGGCAAAAGTGGCCGTGTATCGGTGTATACCCTCCCATTTTCATCAAAGAGTCAAGAAAAAGTATGGGTATAAGGTTATTTTATACTAAAGTTTTGCGTGCATGAGTAGAGTGACGTGTGCAGTGAGCACTTATTTTGATACCGACTGCTCATATCTTACGACCGACTACACTGATCTTGCGACCGTCTAGTATTTGGGATCTATTCTGGCATTATTTGTTTACCTCATTAATTCATTAAGACGGCGACGCATAATTTTGAGACCGACTGCAGTGACTGCACTTATTTTGAGACCGACTATTTTTCTCCCGGGGGGAAATTTTGTTCTTGGACCTACCTACTTACAACAGAATAAGAGTGAAACACATCATTTTTTCAAACATGATAAGTTGACAAGGTTATTTTATACTGAAGTTTTGCGTGAGTAGCGTGACGTGTGCATTGAGCACTTATTTTGATACCGACTGCTCTTATTTTGCGACCGACTGTACTGATTTTGCGACCGACTATTTTTTTTCCTGGGGGGGTGTACCCCACATTTACGCCCCTGTTGATATAGATCAGAGGCTCAGAGGTTGTAGTGGTGGGGGGGGGGGATCAGGGGGTGGCAATCAAATAGGCACAAAACCACACCCAACTTTTCTATAGTAAAATTTTGCATAGAATATATTGCTGAGTGGTAATCAGTCTGCCAGCATTTTCGAGATATTCAGGGTCAAAGGTCAAATGAAGTCATTTGCACTGAAAGTGAATGCACAGCCATTCTTTGTTATTAGGGTTTCACACTGCTTACCTTGTGTGAAACACTATTGTTTTTGTTAAAATTATTCTTATTAGGGTTTCACACTGCGTAGCTTGTGTGAAACACGATTGTTTTTGTTAAAATTATTCTTATTATTATTAATTTTTTATACACCCACATTTTCATGTGGACGTATATTGTCGTCGCCCCTGTCCGGACATCCGTCCACAATTGATTGTGAACAGTCTACAGGTCACAATTTTTATTCGATTTCAATGAAACTTGAAATATAGGTTTATCACCCTAAGATCTCGGTTCCTTTCGATGTTGGCATGTATCGGACTGTAAGTTCATGGATTATGGCCCCTGATTGTACTAAAAAAAAAATCACGTTTTTAGCTTGTGAACACTGTAGAGGTCACAATTTTTATCCGATTTGGTTTAAACTTGAAATGTTTGCTTATAACACAAAGATCTCGGTTCCTTTTGATATTTGTGCATATCGGAACGTAACTTCCTGAATTATGGCCCCTGATTGTACGAAAAATCTCGTTTTTAGCTTGTTGTTTCTCTAGAGGTCACAATTTTTATCCGATTTTAAAAAAACGTTTTAGTATATCACCGTTACACCCTTATGATGGTCGAGTTCGAATTTCGTGAAAATCAGACCAAAACTGCCGTACAAAATGGACGCCCCTTGTATGCAAATAGTGCAAAATATGGTATATCAAGGTTGTGGACCCTCTAGAGGTCACAATTTTCATTCGATTTTGATGAAACTTGGAATGCTTGTTTATATTCCAAAGATCTTGGTTCCTTTCTATATTCACGCATATTGGATCGTTACTTCCTGAATTATGGCCCCTTATTGCACGAAAAGTTATACTTTTAACTTGTGGTCCCTTTAGAGGTCACAATTTTTATTATACGCCCACATTTTCATGTAAATATAAAGAGAGAGGAATCCAAAACCATTTGAATAACATAAACTTAGATGGGATCCAAGTCATAATAAACTTGATACGGTGACACCAGTAGTAGGAGTGGTTAAAAACAAAGTCTTGGGTATCACAAAACCATCTTTATAGAATCAGAGAGTAAAACTACACAAATGATACATTTGAAGTACAAGGTTAGTCATGATAACTAGTGATGTCATAATGTAAATAGACGTCATAACTTTGATGACATAATATAGGTTAAATATAGATAAATAATGTATGGTTTAAAAAAAGGGTGTAGAATTAATTTACAGGCATTTCATTTAAACCACTAGGCCATACAGTGTTTAATCTGTGGATCCAAAGTGATTCAGCAATATTGAGTTTGGTTCTGAGGGATTTTATCAAGCACAGTGCAGACATAAGATTCATGGACCAAACAGTGAACCCCACAATACACTTAGACTAAGAATAATGGTGAAATCCCTCCAGGAAGACCCATTAGCGCAGTAATTCTAATTCTCTCACAGCTAAAGCATCATATTGGCTTGATACGAAATTGAAACCCATTACAGAAACCTACTGCACCGAAGTTGTAAAAGACACCACTAATTTTCTTCAAAAACTCCACAAAATCTAAATATAAGTAATAATACCTACCTACTCACATTTGATTTTATCAGTCTATATATCCAAATATATCCTATACCAGAAGGAATAGACGCCCTTAAAGTACTAGCTAATTTTATACTTACTAATAATGAATTTGAATTTAATAGAAAATTTTACCATCAAATCAGTGGAACTGCAATGGGGATCTCGTTCACAGTTACGTATAGTAATATTTATACGACTTACTGGTTAAAAAAATATTGGAATCATTTACCTGATAGACCGGATGAACACTTTCGATTTATCGATGATATATGGGCCATTTCTTCGTCTACCATGGAAGAATACCAAAATTTTCTAATAACCCTCAACGAACAGCACCCTAAAATCAATTTCACTATGAATATCAGTAATACTGAAGTCTCATTTTTATACGCCCACATGGAAATGTGGTCGTATATTGCCGTTCCCCCCCCCCCCCCAGTCCGTCCGTCATCCACAATTTCTTGTGAACACTCTACAGACTACATTTATCATCTGATTGTTTTGAAATTCATATATGTTGTTTGCATTAGTGAGTTGAAGAAGCCTATTTAATTTCAATGACTTCCGTTAATTTATTCTGGAGTTATGGAAAACAAGGAAGCCTATTGAATTTCAGCAATTTCCGTTTATTACTTCTAGAGTTATTGGCCTTGTTTCACTTTGTTCAACCTTGTTAATGCTCAATTGATGAAAGTTATCATCCGATATGTATGAAATTTATATGCATCATTTAAATTTGTGAAATGAAAAAGCCTGTCAAATTTCAACAATTTCTGTAGATAATTACTTCCAGAATTGAGACCCTTGTTTCAATTTGTAGAACCTTGTGAACCCTCAAACGGCCAAAAATTATAATCTGATCTGTATGGAACTGTCTTGTAAGGGCCCCCAATAGACCTACAAAGGAATAAATATGCGACAACCCTTGTCGACCGCTCGGACGATTTACCTGCTGTGGGCGTATGTTTTGTTGCCTGGCAACCTATCTTTGATTTTTTGGTCTAGAATGTATGAAGAGGGTTTGAATTCACATTTTCTGCCAGGTTTTAGTAAATATTCATGATTTTGAAGTGGAAGGATAACGGGGTTATCAGGTTGGCTACGGTGATATGTACGGCAGCTAGTTACATGTTTTTAGTATGTTTCTTCAAGTTTTTGTATCTCAAAATTTTGGTGGTCAACCTCACAAATATTTTAGTGCAAAGACATGACCATTTGTTTCTCTGTCTGTAGTGAAAAGCATTCAGCCCAACGAAGAGGTGGGGAAAGAGGCCAGAATTAACATTGAAGTCAATGGTGAAATTAATGGTGGTCTGCCTCCCAATAATTTCTAGAGTTATGGCCCTTTTTATTTTTTGAACCTTGTGAGTGTTTGAATGCCAAAATTTATCATCCATTCTGTATGAAATTTATATGCATTATTTAAATTAGTGAAACGAAAAAGCCTGTCAAATTTCAATAATTTCACCAGACTAATAGTGATGCTCATTATTTGTTCTGCTGTATCATGATTCGCATGTGAATGATGCTGCACATCATATTACAGGTTCAGGCGTTGTTGCATCCTTATAAAATTATACCTTCTTTTATAAATAAAAGATTTATGTCTTCTTTCAGACAATTCTTTGAAATGGTCCGATTTGACTTTGTGTTAGATGAAGATTTAAAAGTTTATTTAATGGAGGTAAAATTAACAAAATAGAAGGTTGCTGTATATGTTTCTTTTCTATCTAAATATATTTATATAATAAATCTACTCTAACCCTATCCTTAATATAACTGTCTCTGTTAGTACTTCTTTCTCCATCAGCAGGTGGGAGCAGAGGTGGCTCACGACCTGGAGGTCCTGTGTTCGATCTCGGTGTTGGTCGAAAAAGATCATCAGGATTTTCAGGCTGGGTTTGCCCTTGTCAGCAGTGCAGGACAGAGGGTCTGGCAAGGGACGACATGTAATCATTCAAATGGGACAAAACCGAGTTAACCCCCCTTTTCTGAAAACCTTATAAATAGTTTTTAACAGATGTTTTTGAAATTTGGTGAGAGGACAAACCCTACCAATATCATGATCTGAATCTTATTGTTGGGCAATTCCACGGTTAAAGGGACATAACAGTCAAAAATAAAAAAAATATTCAATTTTCTTTAACTAGGCATTTTATCTATCCATAACTGATAAGTGCAATTTTTCGTGAAACTTACCTTGTATCACAGTATCATGCCTTAAACAAGGTTAGGATTTCATGGGGAACAATGTCACATTTCTGCTTCCTTTTTCTAACTTGATATTTTAAGCATTAAAAATGTAACATCTATTTTCCAATTGTGTTGGCCTAGAATCGATCTGCCAAATAATGTACCATTTTCATTGCATTCATGTATTTGATGACCAAAACTATGTAATTATTAGTATCTGATAATATCGTAAGACGTCCGTTACTGTTACAACCTCTGCATATCAATTGTAGTTTACAGATTCATGCTCCACCAAATATCTTGATTAGACAAATCTAGACAACAATCTATTTAATAACATATACACATGATAAAATGATATTGGGACAAATGAGTATAAGTACGAGTATAACAATGTTGATCAGAATCAATGTACAGGATTAGCCAAAGTACATGTATTCAGTCCAACTTTACCAGTATTCGGTTGAAGTCTCCTTTGCTCTCGGTGGTGCTACTGCTTTGAAGTAGTAGTTTGTAAACAGTCCTTCGCTGGTGTCTTCTCGGCACGTGGGTCAAATAGAAACTTAGAGCAACTAAGAAAGTTCAGCCCTTTGACAAGTCTGGACCGGCTTAAGGGGGGCTTATGTCAACCTTCCAACTGAAAGCAACTGGCATTTCGGCAACTGGGAGCAACTGAAAGCAACTGAATGCAACTGAAAAAAGTCGACTTGAGCGCCCCTTACAACTCAAAGCAACTAGTTGTAGTCAGTTGCACATGTTCAACTTTCTGCAACTGGCTGCAACTAGCAACAACTAGTTGCAGTCGACATGAGCGTTCTTGCAACTGGAGTCAATTCGTTTCCATGGAAATAACATCACATGACAAGAGACACATGTCATGTGACTTTATAAATAAGCAAATGGAAGCGAACGAAGACACCCACTTTTCAAGTTTTGATGATGTCGACAATAATATACTAATAGAATTGTAGCAAGACCGACCATGCCTTTGGGTTGCTTTTTCTAAGTAATTCGCCATTTTGTCGATCACATGTTCAGTGTGATCGCTATCAGTTCTGAGTCAACATAAGCGCTCTGAATTCAGTTGCTCCCAGTTGTCCTCAGTTGCTGATATGATCAACATAAGCACTCTTGCAACCGACTTGTTCTTTCTATTTACATAATGGACACTCTTCGGCAGTGATGGGATTTTGCCCGCATATTCCGGACTTGTCCAAATCTTTTTTCCAAACACCCAAAATTGTCCGATCAGGAATATGCCCAATCGGACATCAAGACATGGTGAATAATATTCAAAATTCCGAAATTAATATAGTTTACTGAGTGTATAACTACCACTCAACCAGATTATCGTCGATAATACGCTGGATTGATTAGGTAATTAAGTGATCAACATATTTATCGTGATATATGGTCTATAACCCTACCTTGATTAACAACTTAATCTGCCTTGATTGACTGACTTAATCCTTTGTCGGACAATTCATCAATCTAATCTTAAACAGAAGCCATTGTTTCCTCTTTGTCGGACCATTGATCAATCCATTATAATTTTAATCTTCGTGTTAACCTCGTGGTTTCTGCATTGTCGGACATTTTAGTTTCAAAGAAGCCGTCACAAGACTGAATTAAAATAAGGTTTTGAATGTTGTCAATTGCTATTTTCAAGTAACTTTCTGCAAATTTCTTGATGATTTCTGCAAAAAGCAAGATGATTGATCAGATTTTCAATAGCACTCATTTCAAGGCCATATTGAAGATCTATCAATTGTCACTCATTTTTATCATGCAAGTTTTGAGAAATATTATTCATAGGAAGGGAAAAGTGTGCAAATGGTATGTCCATTACCGTGGAATTGCTGTGTTTAATTTCATATATTGAAATAACTTTTTAGAGTTGTGATGTGGTTCACTGATATAAATTTTTTTTTTTCAATATATTAATTGATACATGTTCAAATAAACTGAATAGTCCTCATTTTTGTGATATTTTCAGGCAAATATGTCACCCAATTTATCTTCATCCCATTTTAAAGAGAATAAGATACTATATGAACATGTAATATTTAATTTACTTGGATTGGTTGGTTTAGCTCGATCTGTTATATTTAATCACTATAAAAGGTTAGTGTTACAATTATTTATAAAACAATTAATTCATTCTTTACACTAGAAAAAGGAAGACATTTTTTTTTTTTAAATTCATATTAGTGCAATATAAAAACATTCCTATTTATTAGTGAAATATTAATATAGAATCAGTTATTAACATCTGAGTTTGGGAAGGATATTGAAATGTGCTCTATCCGTTCTATTTTCGGAACATAGCTTGAAACTTTGTACACATATATCAACCTATTATGTATCGTGTTCGATTACTTACTCATGGCTTACTCGACCAGAAACCTCAAGTATGTTTGAACATGCGCAGTGGGAATGGGTAATCCAGCGGCGTGGCGCTTTGTTTAAGCCATAATCCAGTGAGTTATGTTCTGATATGCGTCATTATCTAAAAGGGAGCCACGGTGGCTAGTTGGTTAAGACGCTGGCTCGCTAGCCTGGAGGTCGGGTGTTCGATCCCTGCATTGGCCGAGAAAGTTCATCAGGATTTTCCGACGTGGTTTCCCCTTGTCAGTGGTGCAGAACGGAGGGCCTGACAAGGACAGCTGTCTAGTCCTTCGGATGAGACGAAAAACCGAGGTCCCGTGTATATATTGGAATGCACGTAAAAGATTCCCTGGCAGTTGGAATTCGATATAAGAGTAGGCGATAGTGCCGCTGCCCGGGCAAAATTTCCCTCATAGCACACTGTATGGCGTATGCCCGTCTTCATTAGTCCAGTATAGGAGTAGGACGTTAAACCCCATTTCATTTCATTTCATTTCATTTATCATTATCTAAAGGAACCAAGACCTTTGTCATAGAGTTTCATCAAAATCAGATAAAGATTGTGACATCTAGAGGGTCCACAACCTTGATATAACATACTTTTACACTATTTACGTTTGAGGAGAGGCCATTTTGTCTAGCAGTTTTGGTACGATTTTCACAGATTCAAACCCAACCATCATTATGGTGTAAATAGGATAAAATTGACCTAGATTTTTACAAAATATGAACTCAACCTTCACTGAGGTGATATATTTGGGTGGTTAATGCAATTGTTTGTGGTAGAAGAATGGTGGAGGAGAGGTTTTCGTATGGTGTGTTTGGCCTTTTGGTTTGGGTAACCCATATAGAAAGATGACAATTGCTGATTAGGAAACTACAACTATTTATTTTCATCATCATTCATAAACTACACCAATATAACTAAATTAACCATTCGAAATCTGTAATATATAATGTATATATCCTTTTGAGTAATAATCTCGTTCAAATTAAAGTAAATAAAGCTTAAAGATTGATTATGGGAGATAAGATAACGAGATGGCAGTTCTCGTTATAATAGTTAAAAACTAAATAGTGTAAAGGTAATTTGCTGAAAATTTCAGTCAAATTGATCCACTATGAGCCGAGAAAGAAGCGGGTGAAATTTTGGCATAGTCTCGGTCATCATTAAAAAAATCATTAATATAAACAGTTTAGTCTCGATTATCAACTTTTTCTGATTTAATTATCAAAGGCCGTTAGCGGCATATAGGAATCTAATCCAGCCAACATCGAAGGCTAGCCTTGACATTGAGAGTTTATTATGGTCTGGATAAGATAATTAATGTCTAATTGATAATTTAGATAACATTTCAGGCCTAATGAAAGACTTGTAATAAGCAGATTTTGCTCTTGCATAATGCATGTTTAAGTAAGGCCAGACATTTTTAATTTCATGGTTTACGGATGTTTTGGCAGCACTTTAGGTTGGGTAGGTCGAAATAAAAATAAATTTAAACATTAGATATTTTTTTCAGCACAGGGTTATCATATTGATTGGGTAGGTCGGTTAAAAAAAACCCCCACAAAATATTAGAAGTTTACTTTAACAGGTTTATTGTTAACAAAACAAAATAAGAGTGTGACAATATATTATGTATCACTGTTAACCAGTATAAGGTGTCACAAACTAGCCATTTTAATTGACTTAATAAGTAATTTAAATCTTTAATATTAGAGGCATTAAGTGTTGACAGATTATAAAAATAGTTTCTACTGTAGCCACAACAATTAATGAAAGATTTTAATGTCCTGAGTCTCTGTGAAAAACAGAGTTCTTCGAGAAGCTTTAGAAATTCAAAAACATAAGCCAAAATTAAACAGAGACTCTGGACATTATCTTCCAAATCTTTGGGTGGATTTACTAGACAATCAGTGAACACTAATAACTTTAATCAGTGAATGGTTTTCTTTCTTTTTAAGTGTTAATTGTTATTAATTAAGTGAAGATTGTGGTTTAGGGTTTCCAATCATTGTTAATTTGTTTATTTAGTTATTCTATATATTGTACCGGTACCATATTTTGTTATAAATCATTTAGCTTGACAACGATACCTGTATGTGTATCGAAACGTAGCTTGTTAATAAATTCAGAAGTAGTATATCCATATAAGTGCGTATAGTGTCCGATGAATTTAATTTCACAAATGATCTTTGATTAATTACTGTTTCTTGCCCCACGTGGAGGCACAGACAGTTAGATGTAGGGTACCGGAATCTGCCGAGGTTTGCCGAGTGGCCATTTTGAATGACAGTTCTTGTGGGATAGCGTCATTTCTCGCGAAATAACGCTCTCGCTCACGTCGTCTTATTTCTATGATCTTACTGCACAGCACACGATGTTTCCTAGTAAATACAGTATACATTGAAGCCAATGAAGGGTTCATTAAAATGAAAATTGATAAACATTAATAAAAAAAATATGACAACAAACAAAGATTTTATTTCGTGTATGGGTCGGAAATAAAATAAAATTAAATTCTCAAGTTAGATATTTATTTTTTTATCGGGAGGTTCACGCTTCAGTCGGCGGGTCCGTAAAACGAAAAATCAAAAAAGTGTCGCCTAATTAAACATCGATATATAAGCTATAGCGCTTGTACAAAAAATCTTGTGGACGCTCTAGAGGCTAAAGTTAATATCTGATTGACTTTAAATTTATACACAGTGTTTAAGGTCATGAGACAAAGAATCATATTGATTTTCAACGATTTCCGATAATTACTGCCAAAGTTATGGCCCTTGATCACTTTGGAAAAACTTGTGACGTTCTAGAGGCTAAAGTTATCATCCGATTGACTTCAGATTCATACACAGAGTTTAAGGTCTTGAGACGAACAAGTATATTGATTTTCAATGAATTTTTTATATTGCTGTCGCCTCCGTCCGTCCGTTTGTCGGTCCGTCCGTCCATCGTCCAAAAGTTATCATCCGATCTTTCTGAAATTTACATGCATTATTTAAATTAGTGAAACAAAGAAGCCTATTAAATTTCCGCAATTTCCGTTTATTACGTCTAGAGTTATGGCCCTTGTTTCACTTTATTGAACCTTGTGAACGCTCTAACGCCAAAGTTATCATCCGATCTTTCTGAAATTTATATGGCCCTTGTTTCACTTTATTGAACCTTGTGAACGCTCTAACGCCAAAAGTTATCATCCGATCTTTCTGAAATTTATATGCATTATTTAGATTACTGAAACAAAGAAGCCTATTGAATTTCGGCAATTTCCGTTTATTACGTCTAGAGTTATGGCCCTTGTTTCACTTTATTGACCCTTGTGAACGCTCTCACGTCAAAGTTATCATCCAAGCTTTCTGAAATTTATATGCATTATTTAGATTGCTGAAACGAAGAAGCCTATTGAATTTCAGCAATTTCCGTTTATTACATTTAGAGTTATGGCCCTTGTTTCACTTTATTGAACCTTGTGAACGCGCTCTAACTCCAAAAGTTACCATCCGATCTTTCTGAAATTTACATGCATTATTTAAATTGGTGAAACGAAGAAGCCTATTGAATTTCAGCAATATCCGTTTATTACATCTAGAGTTAAGGCCCATGTTTCACGTTATTGAACCTTGTGAACGCTTCAACGCCAAAAGTTATCATTCAATCTTTGTGAAATTTATATGCATTATTTAGATTAGTGAAACAGAGAAGCCTATTGAATTTCAGCTATTTCCGTTTATTACGTCTAGAGTTAAGGCCCTTGTTTCACATTATTGAACCTTGTGAACGCTCCAACGCTAAAAGTTATCATTCGATCTTTGTGAAATTTATATGCATTATTTAGATTAGTGAAACAGAGAAGCCTATTGAATTTCAGCAATTTCCGTTTATTACGTCTAGAGTTATGGCCCTTGTTTCACTTTATTGATCCTTGTGAACGCTCTAACGCAAAAAGTTATCACCCGATCTTTGTGATATTTATATGCATGATTTAACTTAGTGAAACGAAAAAGCCTATTGAATTTCAGCAATTTACAATAATTACTTCGCGAGTTATTGCCCTTGTTTCACTTTGTTAAACCTTGTTAATGCTCGATTGATGATAGTTATCATCCGATATGTATGAAATTTATATACATCATTTAAATTTGTGAAACAGGTCTATTGAATTTCAGCAATTTCCGTCAATAATTTCTAGAGTTATGGCGATTGTGAACGTTTGAATGACAAAAGTCATCATGTGATCTGTATGAAATTTATATGCATTAGTAAAACGAAAAAGCCTGTCAAATTTCAACAATTTCTGTAGATTACTTCCAGAGTTGAGACCCTTGTTTCAGTTTGTAGAACTTTGTAAACCCTCAAACGACTGTCTTGTAAAGGCCCCCAATTACCTACAAAGGAATAAATATGCGACAACCCTTGACAACCCCTCGGACGATTTAGCTGCTGTGGGCGTATGTTTTGTTGCCTGGCAACCTATCTTATGACTTTAACAGCTAAATGCATGATGTTAAAAGTTTTGTATACTAAACGTTAGCATGGGGCAGAACTTTATAAAAACCAAACAAATTCTGATGGTTTTCTGATAATTACTTAATGAGTTGTTACTCTTAATCAGATTTTAATGTATTATAAATGTTTCATTACCGAAAAAAGTAAAAATATGCGACAACTCTTGTTGACTGCCCAGATGATTTAGCTGCTGTGGGCGTATGTTTCGTTGCCCGGGAACCTATCT